AGAAAAAAAAAGAGATTGATGGTATGACTGGTGTATTTTTCAGAGGTAAGTTTCACCAAAATAATTTTTTTTTCATGTCAAGCTATTAAAAACGTCTTTAGCTTTATGCTTATGATATATACAGTACAGGTTGAAGATGTTACTGGATCCTAATAAAACCACTTTTACTTCATTCCTGCAGCATTTTTGCTTTGTTTTATCCCGCCTTTCTTTTTCAGATGCCTTGAGCAGCTGAAATGAATGTTGTGTTGTTGTGCTGTTCTAAGTCATTTGTTAAACATTGATCTCCATTCTTTCTTTCTTTCTTTCTTTCTTTATATAGCACAATTTAATACAACACATGTTGCCCAAAGTGCTTTACAATTACCAACTAACCAACACAATCAAAACCAAAATACCTACAACAGTATAAAAAACAATAAAAGTCACATAGCCTCTTAAGACCCGAGAAAATATTTCTAGGAAAAAAAAATAGTTTTTTCCATGTCTTTACATTGTTTAGAGCATAAAAAAAAATGTTTAAAAAAAAAGTTCATAAGTTATGCTATGCCCTCGGTAGAGGACATCGGGACTCAATTTTAAAAAAAAATAAAAAGACATGAATGAACATGCATAGGCAAAAACAATAGATTTTTTAAATCACCAATACATTTTTAGTTTTCAGGATTTGATATACCATTTGTCTTTCTGTAAAATGTGTGTAAAATGGCCATAAACGGGTTTTCTCATTATATACAATGTATCTATAAACTAAATCTAATTTGCATATTAATGTGTTTTTGGGGCAACATGTAATGAAAAAAGAAGTGTAATAATGGGAGTAATATTTGACAAGATTTTCATAATAATATATAATATTTCATAGAATATTGAAACATAATTTCTTTCCCTATTCATTTGTTATGTCTCCCAAAATGCATAATAAACATGCTTTTAGTCCCGGTGTCCTCATATGAGGACATGTATGAAATCAACATCCTGCTTCGTACCAGAAAGTCATATTTTGATTTGAAACCCCATAACATTTTCCTGAGATGTTGATTTATGACAGACAGTTTAAAAATTAGACCGATTTAAATGATAATTACAAAATATTATCATATTTCCATAAGAGTGTCACTAAATTAATATCAGACATATTTGAAGACCAAGGAGAGGGAGTGGTCATAGTGAAACATCCAAACATTTAGTATCTCTGAAAAGCCCTGAATGTGCTCTGTACAGGACATCCAGACTTAAAACTGTGGCATGTATAGTCTCAGAGAAATACACCAAAATATAATGTCCTCATATGAGGTCACAGGGTCTCAGGAGGTTAAAAACCAACGCAGTGTTGTGTTAGCTCCCAGCAATGCATATGTACAGGAGATACACACATATGAATACATTTTCCCTTAAAGTTCACATATAAACTTCCATTCATTCTAGAGCAATTTATATCAGAAGGATTTATATTAAGATTAACTCATAGTATTGTTGACTGATGTACATGTTCTTCATTGTGCAACTTAAATGACCCTTTAGGGCTTTGTGCACATAAAAAGACAACTTATCAAAGGGATCCTGGTTTCATTCTGCAGCAATCCTCTTATGGCTCCCTATAGAAGCAAGACTCCACACATCTGACATCTTAACTGCTGATCTCATAGAAAAGCCTCTCACTTCAATACATAAACCTGTTAAAGTGAGCCATGGGTCTCATCTCGCTGAGGCGTAGCTCTAAAATTTACTCAATCTCCTCTCTATATGTCATGCTGAATCTAGCTATAATTCCCACGTCATATTGCCTTAGAGACCATCAGAGAAGTAAGAACAGCCTCTTGGTTCACAGAACGCGTTTTACATTCCACAGCACTGGTTGTTAGTTGTTTTTCTATGCAAGCGTGTGCTAGATGGACTAATTTGACTATTGTGCTGCTTTTTTGCTGCTTCTTCAGTGTTTTGCACAAAAGTGATGCGATTTTAAGATGCTGTGAAAAGTAAGAAAAAGTCTTGAGATCACTCATTCTTTTTCATTCCAGAATGCGACTCTAAAGCCCATATACTTCGGTTTTGATCCAGTTTTAGTGTATACAAACCACTGAACACATTCCCTTTCAAAGTATATTTAATCTGATTGCATGCGTGAACACATGCACAATAGAAAGTTTAATCTTTGTCCAGTGTCTGTGCTGTTTCTCTCCAGAAGTTATGACCAATAAAATATCTTTGTATTCTTGTAAACTAGACTTTAGAGTTTTCGTGATTAAGTTGAGAGACACAAGATAGTGGATTGAAAAAAAAAGAGATGTGTTTTTAAAAAGTTGAACACGAATGCTGCGTTTTTAGGCCTGAGGTGCGAACAACTCCATCTAGTGCATGTTTACATAGAAAAACATAGAAAAGCAGCACAGTGGAATGCAGAATTTATTGTGTGTGAACAGGTGCTGTTTGTTCACATCCATGTGAGGCTGTTTGTAAGAATATTCTTCCCCTGGGGCAGTGACAAATAGCTACGTATATATCTCCCAGACAAACACTCTTGGTTAATGACACAGCATTCTACCAGTCAGAAACGGTAACACGCGTTTAGTTCACTGCTGTGACTGAAAGAAGTAGTGTGTGCAGTAAGCTTAGGCTTATGATATGTGTGTTGCCCATGTATATATGTAGCTATATTGGTCCTGCCATTTGGAGATGAGTCTCTTATGGCTGCCTATGCTGAAGGAGGACATGGATGGAGCTACAGAGACGTATGTGATTGGTGTCACAGTTTTGATTCATTTAGTGAAGTGTGTGCTTTAGAATATTGAAACATAATTTCTTTCCCTATTCATTTGTTATGTCTCCCAAAATGCTAATAAACATGCTTTTAGTCCCGGTGTCCTCATATGAGATCAACATCCTCTGTTTCGTAACAGAAAGTCATATTTTGATTTGAAACCCCATAACATTTTCCTGAGATGTTGATTTATGACAGACAGTTAAAAAATTAGACAGATTTAAATGACATTACAAAAAATGATCATATTTCCATAAGAGTGTCACTAAATTAATATCAGACATATTTGAAGATTAAGGAGAGGGAGTGGTCATAGTGAAACATCCAAACATTTAGTATCTCTGAAAAGCCCTGAATGTGCTCTGTACAGGACATCCAGACTTAAAACTGTGACATGTATAGTCTCAGAGAAATACACCAAAATATACCGTAATGTCCTCATATGAGGTCACAGGGTCTCAGGAGGATAGTATAGATCAAGTAGGAGTCAAGACCCATCATAAAAACTCTGAGTTAAAAGATGTGGTTTCAAGCATGGCTTTAAACACGGGTAGTGTTTTAGTAGATCTAATAGCGAGGGGGAGCTTGTTCCACAATTTTGGACCGGCTCTGGAAAAAGCACTATGACCCTCATATTTGTATTTGATCTTAATAACACAGAGAAGGTGTTGTTTTTCGACCTCAAGGATCTGGAAGGAGTGTATACTGACACCATACTGGACAGGCAACCCGGGGCTAGATTATGTAGGGCCTTAAAAGCAAGAATAAGAATCTTATAAATAATTCTACGCTGTACTGACAGCCACTTTAATGAATGAGTCATGTTTTTTAGCAGACTGTGCCGCCATTCTTGCCGCTGCATTTTGGATTTTCTGTAAGTGCGCTAGTGCACCCGCGCCAACTCCATAATACAGGGAATTACAATAATCCATTCGAGTAAAGACAATAGCTGATATAGTTTTTTCAAAGTCTGCAGTGGAAAGAAATGATTTAGTCTTAGCTAACAGCCATAACTTGAAAAAACCAGATCTCACCACTGTATTAATTTGACTGTCCATCTATAAATCACGATCAAACACAAATCCCAAGTTTTTCACACTGGGTTTCATATATCCAGACAAAGGTGTTTTTTTATGCACTGAACCACTTTGTGCTTTCTAGGGCCAAAAACAATAACCTCAGTTTTCGTTTGCAGCCATCCAGGCCTTAACCTCCTGTAAACATGCTAATAGAACATCAAATGAGTAGCCATAACTTGGAAAAACCAGATCTCACCACTGTATTAATTTGACTGTCCATCTATAAATCACGATCAAACACAAATCCCAAGTTTTTCACATTGGGTTTCATATATCCAGACAAAGGTGTTTTTTTATGCACTGAACCACTTTGTGCTTTCTAGGGCCAAAAACAATAACCTCAGTTTTCGTTTGCAGCCATCCAGGCCTTAACCTCCTGTAAACATGCTAATAGAACATCAAATGAGTTTGAATGTAATTCTTTCACAGGCAAATAAATATGAGTATCATCCGCATAACAATTAAATGATACTTTATACCTCCATTGAGGTTACTTTACTTTATATCTCCATTGTCTACGTATAATAAAATATTATTTTCACATAATTATTAATGATTTGGTACAACAATTTTAGGCCACAACAGATTTCCTTTTGTTGAATTTTGTGATGTTATAGTGCTATTTCTATGTCTTATGGAGCAACTACTGAGTTTGATAGGGTTAGTATGTGTAACCCTAATTAAATAATGAAAAACTGATAAGATTTAACATGCAGACCGGACAATATTCAAAACAAAAACATATATAACAAAACAAAAAATATATATATATAAAACACCAAATTACTAGATGATTCCACATCAATGTTTAACCTTGTGTAAGTGAAGAATAAACAGGGTAGAAAAGAATAAAAGGCAATATACTTCAAATATATTCAACATTAAATATGCTGCTAATCTGCTATTTATTGTTCTAAGATAATAATTTACTCATGTAAAGCAGCTGTACAAGTCTTTCCCTTTCGACAGAATCTGATACACACAAAATCAATAACAGTTTCTAAAACATAAGCACTGTATGTATGTGCAACTTTAAGAAACGTACAATGTCTGTCACAATGTCATGCAGATTTTCCCACAAAATCAATCTAAATTATTTATTGCATTAAGAAAAAATGTATAAAAAGAAAACTGAAAATTCATTTAATGAAATGGAATCATTAGAAGTTGGACATCAGATACATGCGATCAGGTGCTCTTGTTTTTTTGGCTTTATACACCAACAATCCCACCAGCACCACAATGGAGATTATGAAGAGTCCCGCGAAGACCCCGGTGCCTGCACTGACATGAAGAGAATCACCATTTTCTGAAGCTGAAGAAAGAAACATGCAGTTATATTAACAATCATGATGCAGAATCATTTGAAGTCGTTATTATTTTAAGATGTTACTAATATACAGTACCTGCTGCTGAATGCTGAGTTTGTCTCACCACACGGAAGGGACCCTGCTTGATGTAATGCCTGGCGGTTTCTTTGCTCACGTCTCGTCTGCGTTTGTGTGCGGGTTCTCTGAGGCAGCCTTGGGCGCATCTTGAGTTTGAACTTCCTTCCGCACACAGAATCACAGAACAGGTAATGTACACCTATCAAAAGAGTTTGAGGGCATCGCAGTTAAATGTTCCTGCTCAGCAGAATTTACAGGATTTCCAGCATTACAGCAGTAGTATGTGATTCTCTTATACCTCATTGTAGCCGCCTGTGAACTTGAAAGCGTGGATCCCAAAGTCATACGTTCTTGAATCACTTTGATAAACCTCAACTGTGTCATCCATAATACACCTGTAAGTACACATTGAACACATGACTTCAGTTTTCAGTTACCCACAATCATTTATTCCGAACTATTTTGTGGAAATAGTGCAATTTATTAATTCAGAATATTCAAAAAAGGGATACACAAAGAGATTACATGAACAAGTTATTGATATTCTTTATCATGAATGTATACTGTGTAATGCATGCAAATATCTGTGCTTGAAAATCTCTAAGTGGCAGATCTTCAACTTTCTGTAGATTACAGTAAGTTATCTGAGAAACTTGACTGTCCTGAAAACTCCACAATCATGGGACAGATCTGTTGTCCTTCAACACAAGGAGTGAACACGTGTCTTTATCACTGAAAAAAATGTCCCGGTTCAGTCCTGTAAAGTACTGGTTAAATATCATTGCCCATTATTGCTGGTCATGAGATATATGTCCATCTTTTATGAGAAATGCAAAGCATGTGATTAAAGTTACTGCACATTTTTTATATATATGTAAAATTTACAGTAACGTTAAATAATTTAAATTATATATACTCACTCTCTTTCTCTCTCTCTATACTGTACAGTATTTACTGTTCATTCAATCATATTCATTTTAATTAAACATTTTTGCATTGCTATTGCAAGGTTATAACTATGGCTATTGCGTTATGAATATACTAAAATTATTTAAAGGGATAGTTCACCCAAAAATGAAAATTATGTTCCCAAGTCCAGAAACGCAGCAAGGAGATCGGTAAAATAATCCATGTGACATCAGTGGTTCAACCGCAATTATATGAAGCTACGAGAATACTTTTTGTGCGAAAAAAAAAAAAAAAAC